AAAATGGACATATTTTATCTAAATTTTAACAATAAAGCCGAATGATAAGAACGTTACCAAGAGGATATAATTAAATTTTTATTACTTATAAAGTCCTAGTAATTTTCAAAAAAAAAAAATGAAGAAGAAGACAAGTTCCCAGTGAAGCATTAATTTGAGGATTCATGATTTGGAGCTTACTCAGTCCATTTTCTGTTTCCAAAAATTGGATTCTTTTCTTCATATATCCTTCCTTCTGCAGCATTTGAGTTTCGTTCGAAAAAGAATATGTTGTTTTGTAAGGGTCCAACATATGCCAAAACACTGCCTTAACTTCATGACAACATAATTTCTGACATATCTTCTAGATTAATTAACCTTGTTCTGACAAACCAATGAACTTAATTTATAGAATAGATCATGTTTTTAACTCATATATGTATAAACAACACTAATAAACTTGCATGTGGGGTGGGTGACACCAATGTTAAACAATTAATGGCTTGCTGATAAGTTAGTTGGCCTGCTGATAAATTAGTTGGCCTGCATGGTAGAAGTAGGAAGAATTTGGATGGTATTTGATGGTTAATTAAGAGGGAAAGAAAAAAGATTTATAAATAAGAGTCAATCCATTCTTTCAAGAGGGTATTTTGATAATAAAATTTCAGGACTTACATGTTAAGGTAGACAATTTCTTCTTCTTCTTCTTTTTTTCTTTTTTTTTTTGAACGTATTTTGCAAGGGCAGGTTTTGAACCCTGCCGGGGGAAGGGGAATGCACCGTAGCTATGCCACTAGGCCTCAAGGGCCAGTGCCTTCTTCTTCTTCTTCTTCTTCTTCTTCTTCTTCTTCTTCTTCTTCTTCTTCTTCTTCTTCTTCTTCTTCTTCTTCTTCTTCTGATAAAAAAAATGGATAATTTCTCATGCAAGATTGTAAAGCAAAAATCATAACATCAACATTTAAAGTCTAGCTTTTATTGTGAATGAAATACATCAATATATGTAAAATAGACAACATCTTTTGGAATATTAAGAGGGTAAATTACAGTTACCTCTAACTAAGATTCCATAGATGTGAATGCTTATATTATGTCTAATTGATGCTAGCTAGATGTCTTTGTCTTGCATATGGTTGTTGCTTACTTGGCATGCTTGTGGTCCTGTTGGTCCCAGCAGATTCAACATGGTACATAATAGAGCACAAAGACAACACTTTATGGAAGGTAGGTATATGGAGATCATGGTTCAACTTATGAGGGCGCAGTTGGGTAAGGCATGGAAGATTTTTCTTGTTTGTGGCTTTCTTTTTCTTCTCTTTTTTTCTCTTTAGTTGAATCACTTTTCCTATGATAATATCATTCCTCTTTAATTCTCATCTTTACCATAAAGTTCATCAATATCCAAGCTAGTTAGCTTAGTGGGGCACTGAAAAAATGTTTAAAATTGGACCCTTTCAAATTTTAATTTTTCAAGACGAGACAGCCATGCTAATGTTGAGAGGTGATGTCTTTTCCAAATTCTCTTTACAGGCCATGATATTTGCTATGTTGGTGTGTAGAGAGAAACCACTTTTGGCCATTTCTCTACGAATCATGATCTCTACTATCTCCAATGCCCTTTCTAGTTTGTCCTTTGAGAAAATGCCAGAAAAAACACACAGTTCATGGAAACAAATTAAATGCTAATTTAAATACCTAAATTTGACCAAAGTGGACTTTAGTTTTCCATTTTTAAACAAATTTTTTTTTTAACAAACACGTATTAAATTTTAAAATAGATAATATTTTATTAAAAATAATACCTATTTACCTTATATTTTAAAAATTAAAAGAAATTTTATTTTAAATTTATATTATTTTAATAAATTTTTATTAAAATTAAAATATTTTATTTGTAAAATATTTTATTTTTAATATAAATTAAATTATTTTTAATTTTTATAGTTGTATTTTATTAAAATAATATAATTTTAAAATAATTTTTTTATAATTTTTAAGAAGTAAAACTTTAATACTCACTGATCCCTATTTTATTTTAAATTGCAATTAATGAGATTTTGCAAATTAGTACTCCAACGAAACGAAAGATTCAGCAGAATTCCCATTTAGGACGCAACAAAAAACCTAAAATGTAAAATTTTGTGGAGCCTTGTTTTCGTATGGTACCAAACACCTTGATCCAATATTTAGGTCCAGCCCAATTGCCGAAAACTCTAGCCCGAGTTGTTGCAGTGATTGTCTTTGAGCCCGGAAGGTTCAAATGCGAGGTTAGAAGTTTGACGGGGCAGGTCCTGATTCGTCATAGATGAAAGGTATAATTTGATATATAAATTTATTAAAATATTTTAAATAAATTTTAATATTATTTTATTAATAATATTTTAACCATTTATACACCCAATATACAGTTATAAAATGCAACTCAATCTGGTCGACAAATGCAAAACTTTCGTAAAAAGATATTGGGTATACGAGGTTAGAAAAAAAAATTATTTGTACAAATATAATAAAGAGTTAGTGTTTGTTTATCTTATTTTTAAAAAATTAAAAGAAAAAATGACAAAAATTATCTTAATGTATATTTTAAAAATAAAATAGTTTAATCTTTTTAATAAAAATTTATTAAAACGACGTAATTTTAAAATGATTTTCCTCTTAATCTTTAAAAGATAAGACTGATAAACATTACTTTCATATAATAATATCAAGATTCCATTATTAAGATTATGACCTATATTCCTTTAAAAACCCACTTGATAAAGTTTGGGACTATTTGAAGATAATATAATTAGTGTTTGTCTCTAATCATTGAATAATTTTTTAGTGATATACTCAATCTACAATTTTAAAAATAACCCAATCTAAAGAATATGAATCTTATTCACGAAAATACAATATCACGAGTGATATTATTATCACAATTTTTTATTTTGATTGGTTATTATATATTTTAATTTATTGAAAATCAGAAAAATATAAATTTTTGAGACAAAATGTAATATAAAGATATAATTGATAGTTATATTAAAAAGATATGGTGTTAACAATTTATTGTAATTTATTGTGTGAAAATAATCTCATCCCAATATTACAACTTAAATCTTAATTATAATTAAAAACATTAAATACATCTAAGTATTGAGACTCATAAAACCTGATGCCATCAAATCCTGCTATTAATTAGGTTTTAGTCTATAATACATAAATTCAAATTTTAATTATTTGCTGCAATACAAAACCCATCAGAATTTACGCATCTAATAATTCAGAGGAAAACCACGTTTTGCAATCACCGTAATTGCAATTCGATGAGTGCCAAGTTCACTCAATTTCTGACTATTTCAAAGAAATCGTTCCAATGTCAGTCCGTGAGAAAAAACAGAAAAACATCATCTAGACAGAAAATTTGCAATTGCGATTTCACTGTTAAAAACAACTGACATTAAAATAAAATGATTAACAGTACAAAGAGAAGAAAGAGACGAAAGAGGGAAAATCATAAAGAAATTGGGAAAACACGGCTTAAATAAAAAAATCAGAGGGCATTTTCAGCAGCAAAATCGCATTGCCGGCCGCCCTGTTGTACTTTACCAATAGGTTAAATTTCCGGTTCAGTCCCTCAACTTTCATTTTTTAACTAAATTTACCCTCAAACTTCAAAAAATACTAATAAAATCCTTAAACTTCAATTTTCAAGATCAATTTCGTCCTTCTATCGATGGAAGTGCCAAATAGCACGTTGAGTTGCCACGAAATCAATTCTTGTTTGAAATATTTAATTACGTAAAAAATAACTTAACTTACTGTAATATTTTTATTGTCTACATCATTTTAATTAATTTATATATTAAAAAATTTTAAATTCCTTAAATACCCCCATCTTCATCTTCCAGCCCCTCTTTTTCTCCCTTCTCGTCTCTCTCTATCCTCAAATGTCTCTTCATCTTGCAACCCAATTAGCACCAATCATCCCTCATTGCTCTGGTCATCCTTTACCACTCCAATCACCATCTCCTTCCCTAAATCTCCTCTCCAATGGAACCCAAATATGGTTCCTCACAAAATAATAATGGCTAATAGATCTGATTCAAAAAATCAATTACATTGTAAATTTATACCAAATCTGTAAAGATTCAACAAATCAATCATATTACAAATTTATACAAAATTTGTAAAAGAAAAAGAAAAAGTAAAAAACACAATATGCCTTCAATCAACACCAGCAATAGTTAGATCTCGAATTTCAAGCAAGCAAAAGCCACACAAAACTCTAAATCCCATACCAAGATAGCCAAGTATAATTGCAACCAACAAAGAAATAGAATAACAAAGAAACAGAAGAAAAAACCCAGGTGGGTTCGGAACCCAGGCGTGCTGGGTTCGAGGAACCTAGTTGGGTTCTTTTGAACCCAATAGGGAGGGGAAGGAGAAAAGGAAAGATAAAGAAAAAAAAAAAAGGAAAGAAATTTTTATTTATTAAATTATATTCATGTTGTCATGTCATAATATTTTTATAATTAAAAGATAGCATATCACTTATTTTATTTTCAAATAATATTCAATATTAATAGAAATTGAATTTTTTAATAGAGAATTTTGTCACATCAGCACTTAATTGACAAAAGGACAAAATTGGTCCCAAGAATTGAAGTTTAGGGATTTTTTAGTACTTTTTGAAGTTCGATAGTAAATTTAGTTCAAAAATGAAAGTTGAGGGATTGAACCAGAGATTTAACCTTACCAATACGAGGGGTGGGCATTCCGTTGGCTAACCATTCCGAACCAAAAAATGGATTTAGTTTGAAAGAATTAGTTTTGGTAAAAAAACCGATGGGTTTTTGGTTTGGTATTTTTTTTCTTTTTGGTACATCAGAAGCTATAATTTCAGCTCACTTCCTAAGGAACATGGTCCCTATATAATCACTTTGTAAGATCATATGAATATCCACCGGAGGTGTGGGAAAAGGTGTAGTGCCCAAAGTTAATTCGTGACCCATGGATGCCATAAAATCAGCAGCTAAATTCCCCTCCCTGAGAGTGTGTTGTACCAGGCAGTTGCTAAAGAGATCTATCAACACGAAGACGTCCGTAAGAAGCACCGAGGCTGGCCCGGCTGATACCTGCCGATTTTGAATGAGTTGTATTGCAAGTAAAGAGTCCATTTCTAAGACCAACTGCTGTATCCCCAGGGAGTGAGCAAGCTTGAAACCTTCTCTGCAACCCCACAACTCAGCCAAGAAACTTGTTGTGGGACCAACGTTTACAGCAAAGCCATGAACCCAATGCCCGTTGTGATCACGAATGAGTCCTCCAGCTGCTGCTTTGCTTGAGTGATGATTGTGGTATCCATCGGTGTTTAGTTTAAGATAAGGATGTGGTGGGATTTTGGTTTGGTATTGATCAAGAGGCTTAATAACCAAAAAC